CCTTCATTACAAATTGTTCTTTGTTACACTAACATAATCTATGACGTCTTGCATCTTTATTTCAAGAATTACCTCCTTTTTAAGAATTTGATTTTAAAAATGGTATACTTTGATAACAGGGATGTTTAAAAAATAAATTAAGAGTGTCCTTCAGTCCGTCTGTCGGTCTGTTTCCTGTGATCACTTTTAAAAACTTTTTCAACAAATTTACTAGAAAGAGAAATATAAGTGAATGACCAATGGCCCTTCAGAATGTTGCTGGGGTTCTAACCGGTAGGGTACTTATGAATTGCTTGCAATATTATTATAATTGCTTGTTATAATAGGACAAGGTGTCATGCACAAATACGCCATCTCTACCTTCAAATTGAATGTCACACTTGGTAATCAAAGGTCAACATTGACTTTTGAGGGTAAATGTTGTGTCCGTTCTGTAACTTTCTTTACCATGAAGTGATTTTGAACATTCTTGGCACTAATAATAACAATGATAAGACAATGTGTCTTGCGCAAAAAAGTCGCCTACCTCCAAGATCAAGGTCACAGTTGGAGATTAACATAGTCTGTTACAGGGAATATTTTGTGTCCGGTCCATAACTTCTTCAAAGATCAAGGGATTTTATGATTATTAGGCACAAATGTTAACAATAATAAGAAGAGGTGCACGAAACCTTTTGCCTACCTCCAAGGTAAAGGTCACAACTTAACATTGTCTTTTAAAGGGTACATTTAATGTGCAGTCTATAATTATTTTATTGTTGATGTTTTTGAAATTACTAGGCATAAATGTTCACAATAATGGTAGCATATGTCATTTGCAACAGCCAGACTTCTACCTTTAATGTCAAGATCACACTTGAGTGCCATATCGTAACCTTGTCTGTTCTTAGGTATATTTTGTGTGCGGTTCATCAATCAAGGGATTTCAGAATAACTTGACTCAATGTTAACAATTATAAGTCTAACCCCTACCTCAAAGGTCAAAGTCACACTTGGAGGTCAATGCCTGAAATAGGCTGTTACAGGGTATGGTGCCAAGTCAGGCCAATGCAAATAAAAGGTCATTGGTGAATTAACCACATACCTTGATTGATGACTTGACACAAAATGTACCCTGTAACAGACCATATCCTCTACGTCACATTTTGCACAAAGTGTTTCTTTTGACACATACATAGGAAATATTACATTATATTTCTTCAATGAATTTTTGTTACTAGCATCGATCAAAATTTTGCACTGAAAGTCCAGATCCATACATCAATTTTTTTGAAATAGCACAAATTTGTGTTGGTGTAAATTTCCCTTAGGCGGGGGAAGTTGGTAACTCTGTTACAAATTCTTGTTACACATAATTTTTCTGTTACAAATTCTTGTTATACATAATTTTAGGATCATAAATCCAAAATCGTTATGACACTTTTTCTGAAATCATTCTATAATCAGTAACGAGAGTTTTCCTCAGTCATAGGGTTTTGAATAATGTTAGTTATAATAATTCAATTATTCATAATTTATAGTTTCTTGTTTATATAACACTTGACTAGAATAAAATATTCATATTAAAAGTGATGTAAATATGCCACTGTTACAGGTAAATGAAGTAAGTGGTATATTCCTCCTATGGACTGTATTTTTATATTGACATCCCTTCAAGTATAAATGAAAAATCAGGGTAAGTTCATTTCAGTTGAACAGGTTAAAGGTAAAGATATATATTTATTTTTCAAGTTGCCACTGACAAGGTTACTGGCTAAATATGGAGTTGAACCTATTCAGAAGAAACATGAAAGAACTTTATACTATCTTCATAAAGCAGATGAAAAAAGAAAATTTACGTAAGTTGTGTACATATATCCATCACATTTAACCAAAGCACCTAGTGTAATAAGAGTTTTATGTGATGTCATTTTAATGTGAGGAAGCTTTCTAGCTAGTATTAAAACATCAGTGGTTCTACTCAGGTGACTGTGTGTGCCTGAAATAATGCATGAAAGTCACCTGAGGTCACCATATGACCTTTACTGTCTAGGTGTGATAGAAAAATCAAATCACAAACGTGAATCATGTGTCCCGAGTCAATAATGGCTTGATAAGTGAATCGTGTGAATAGAGTCAATATTAGCTTTGATAAGTGAATCATGTGTCTAGAGTCAATATTGGCTTTGCTGTGTGAATCATGTGTATAGAGTCAATAATGGCTTTGATAAGTGAATCATGTGTCTAATCAATATTGGCTTTGATGTGAGAATCATGTGTATAGAGTCAATAATTGCTTTGATGAGTGAATCATGTGTATAGAATCAATATTGGCTTTGATAAGTGAATCATGTGTCTCGAGTCAATATTGGCTTTGATGAGTGAATCATGTGTCTAGAGTCAATAATGGCTTTGATAAGTGAATCATGTGTCTAGAGTCAATATTGGCTTTGAATAAGTGAATCATGTGTCTATGAGTCAATATTGGCTTTGATAAGTGAATCATGTGTCTATGAGTTAATATTGGCTTTGATAAGTGAATCATGTGTCTAGAGTTAATATTGGCTTTGATAAGTGAATCATGTGTCTAGAGACAATATTGGCTTTGATAAGTGAATCATTTGTCTAGAGTCGATATTAGCTTTGATAAGTGAATCATGTTTCTAGAGTCAATATTGGCTTTGATAAGTCAATCATGTGTCTAGAGTCAATATTGGCTTTGATAAGTCAATCATGTGTCTAGAGTCAATATTGGCTTTAAAAAGTGAATCATGTGTCTAGTCAATATTTGCTTTGATAAGTGAATCATGTGTCTATGAGTCAATATTGGCTTTGATAAGTGAATCATGTGTCTAGAGTTAATATTGGCTTTGATAAGTGAATCATGTGTCTAGAGACAATATTGGCTTTGATAAGTGAATCATTTGTCTAGAGTCGATATTAGCTTTGATAAGTGAATCATGTTTCTAGAGTCAATATTGGCTTTGATAAGTCAATCATGTGTCTAGAGTCAATATTGGCTTTGATAAGTCAATCATGTGTCTAGAGTCAATATTGGCTTTAAAAAGTGAATCATGTGTCTAGTCAATATTTGCTTTGATAAGTGAATCATGTGTCTAGAGTCAATATAGGCTTTGATAAGTGAATCATGTGTCTAGAGTCAATATTGGCTTTGATAAGTGAATCATTTGTATAGAGTCAATATTGGCTTTGATAAGTGAATCATGTGTATAGAGTCAATATTGGCTTTGATAAGTGAATAATGTGTATAGATTCAATATTGGCTTTGATAAGTGAATCATTTGTATAGAGTCAATATTGGCTTTGATAAGTGAATCATGTGTCTAGAGTCAATATTGGCTTTGATGTGTGAATCATGTGTATAGAGTCAATAATGGCTTTGATAAGTGAATCATGTGTCTAATCAATATTGGCTTTGATGTGAGAATCATGTGTATAGAGTCAATAATTGCTTTGATGAGTGAATCATGTGTATAGAATCAATATTGGCTTTGATAAGTGAATCATGTGTCTCGAGTCAATATTGGCTTTGATGAGTGAATCATGTGTCTAGAGTCAATAATGGCTTTGATAAGTGAATCATGTGTCTAGAGTCAATATTGGCTTTGATAAGTGAATCATGTGTCTATGAGTCAATATTGGCTTTGATAAGTGAATCATGTGTCTATGAGTTAATATTGGCTTTGATAAGTGAATCATGTGTCTAGAGTTAATATTGGCTTTGATAAGTGAATCATGTGTCTAGAGACAATATTGGCTTTGATAAGTGAATCATTTGTCTAGAGTCGATATTAGCTTTGATAAGTGAATCATGTTTCTAGAGTCAATATTGGCTTTGATAAGTCAATCATGTGTCTAGAGTCAATATTGGCTTTGATAAGTCAATCATGTGTCTAGAGTCAATATTGGCTTTAAAAAGTGAATCATGTGTCTAGTCAATATTTGCTTTGATAAGTGAATCATGTGTCTATGAGTCAATATTGGCTTTGATAAGTGAATCATGTGTCTAGAGTTAATATTGGCTTTGATAAGTGAATCATGTGTCTAGAGACAATATTGGCTTTGATAAGTGAATCATTTGTCTAGAGTCGATATTAGCTTTGATAAGTGAATCATGTTTCTAGAGTCAATATTGGCTTTGATAAGTCAATCATGTGTCTAGAGTCAATATTGGCTTTGATAAGTCAATCATGTGTCTAGAGTCAATATTGGCTTTAAAAAGTGAATCATGTGTCTAGTCAATATTTGCTTTGATAAGTGAATCATGTGTCTAGAGTCAATATTGGCTTTGATAAGTGAATCATGTGTCTAGAGTCAATATTGGCTTTGATAAGTGAATCATTTGTATAGAGTCAATATTGGCTTTGATAAGTGAATCATGTGTATAGAGTCAATATTGGCTTTGATAAGTGAATAATGTGTATAGATTCAATATTGGCTTTGATAAGTGAATCATTTGTATAGAGTCAATATTGGCTTTGATAAGTGAATCATGTGTCTAGAGTCAATATTGGCTTTGATTAGTGAATCATGTGTCTAGAGTCAATGTTGTCTTTGATACAATATTTTGTATAGCAAACAGTGACATCTTACAGAACTGTTGTTTTCCCTTAGAAATAGCAACCACAGTAAAGTTTTTACATGTGCACTATTTCATACACAAATTTGAACTTAAGTTTAAGATTTAGATTTTAGTCTGCTTTGATTTATAGTTTAAGATCCTGTAACACAACTTTTTCATGGTTTTATTTCATAAAAATGATGCTCAAAATAAGATTTGCCGATTTTGTAAGTTCCAATAAGCAGTATTAATAAAGATATTACCAATTTAACATTTCATGTAAATAAAGGGAGGAAATTAGAAATTTATTTTCTGTAAATTCTAAGTCAAATTTTTCAATAAGAAATGAATGCATATAATTTATTGATTACATATAATGTGCACACATATTTGCTGTACATATTTTACATCTTCGATGTTTGAATTTTTTTTTTATTTGCATAATTATATACATATATAATTTCTTTTAAGTGTGGTACACATACAGTAAAACTATCAATCACAAAACATGCAGGATCTTTAACAATATAAATTGTTCCTTGTATTGTAGGGGCCTTTACAAATGTACTGTTTGTGAGAAGTTGACCTGAGCAATGGATGGAGAAAGAGGAACTAAATTTTCTGCCGCTAAAGATTCACGATATATGTAAAGTCTGGGAAAGCAGTGATCCCTCGGAAGCATTTATAAAAAATTACATGAAAATTTCATGCTCGGTTTGATGAAGTCATTAATGAAGGATAGTCAAACCATCAACTTTATATTCTTCTATCTGACAGGTTCTTTTCATATTGTCTGAATATTCAAATAGATTTAATTGTATTGAAAATGTGTTTATATACATATATTTTGTATAATTCAGTATACTATATAATATAATGGAGGTAAGATGTCTTCAAAAAGAGAAACCTGAAAATAAAGGTAATTGTCTATCTTCATTGTCTGATTTTTATTTTATTTACACAATTTAACACTGTCTTTAGTTAGTGCGGGAGTGAACACCATCTGCCATTCCGCATGACAGAATAGGGATAGGGTGCCATCTCACTGTGAAAAGAAGAAAAAAAGAACAATAGAATTCATTCTATAACAATAAATTATGAGGCCTACTGTTATGGCTCTTTATTAAACAAAGAGTATGCACTTCAGTTTTACCTTATCTTTTTTGAAAAAAAATATAGAAGTGTTGAATATCTGGACAAACATGACATAACAATGCAAAATTACACTGCATCTGTGTGTGTGTCAAGTATCATGACTCCGAAAGTTTCACATAATTGTGCGTCTTCCTTTACTTAAAAATATCACAGAAATGTACCTATAGCTTAGTTATTTCCGTGGCTGAGTGGTTAAGGATGTTGACGTCAAACCACTTGCCCATCACCGCTGTGGGTTTGAATCCCGACAGGGACTTTGGATTGTTTTATGTGGGGAAGCTATCCAGCTAGCTTACAAAACGTCGATGGTTCTACTCAGGTGTCCGTTCGTGCCTGACATAATGCAAGGAAGGGCGCCTGAGGTCTTCCTCCACTTGTAAAGCTGGAACGTGGCGATATGACTTATATTGTGTCAATGTTACGTAACCCCCCCCCCAACCTGTAGACATGAGGAGGTAACTCTATCAAGCATTTTGACAGAATTATGACCCTTTTTCGACTTAGACTTTACGTTAAAGTATTTTTTATACCTTAAATATTTTCAATGTTCATTGACATAAGTCTTTGAAACATGTTGAAATTTTATACTCTTCATTGAGAGCATAATAGGAATATCTCTAATGCCTATAACTGTAATATGGATTTACAGAAAATTTTTGCCTTTTTCTTTACTGAGAACATTTAACCTTTTATTCAAGGCTTTTTTACTATCAAGCACTAAGAATAGTCGAGCGTTCCTGTCCTACCTACAGCTCTTGTTTTATGGCAAATGGCGTGTATGCATTGCTTTATTATGCTATGCTCATCAGTCCTACCAGTTTTGTACGAGCATGTTAGACTTAATAATTAATATATGTGACTTCATTTTGTCTGTTTTTGCACATTCTGTTGTTCTGGGGGCCGATTATGTTTATGAGTTTTTAGGCCCCGGGCCACAAACTCAATATCGGTCATGTGACACTCATAATAAATTAAAACTGTTTTCAACTTTGTTATATAGAAACCAAGTGTATTAATTGATATTTAATATACATTTTGTATAGAAACCAAGTGTATTAATTGATATTTAATATACATTTAATGTTCATAATTTCATTTACAGGATGGTATTATGTACCAACACAAGGTCAGTTTAAAGAAAGGGAAGACATGTACGGAAGTCAGGAGATGGTGAAGGCTTGAGAATTAGGGAAATAACTTGTTACTAAGATATGTCGTACAGGATTATTATGAAACAAAGCCACTTATTATTTAAATGCATTGCTTTTGAACTTTTAATGTGGTTTATTGACATAATTTCCTCTTCAAAGTTTTAGACATAATATAGATATATGAGGATTTTCAAATAAACTTTAAGTAACCTGAATTAAAGAAGAATTGAAGAATAAAGTGTTAGATATTGTATGAAACATATTGTTTTGCATCAAATTTTGTGAATAAACATTGATTTATCAATTTATATCGTTGCTGTGTAATGCTTTGGCTAAAAAATGTGTACAGAACCATTAAGGTACGCTAGGAACATACTCATTATAAATAGGTTTTAGTCTGAAACTGTCTGTAGTATCCTTGTGACAGATGCACTTAAATATACTAATTATGCTCATTTTTTATCAATTCCCTTCTGCGTAGCGAAAAGGGGATTATAGGAATGGTCTTAGTCAGTCCGCCGTCTGAGCTTACATATTAGAGTTATTGGCTTCATTCCGTAGTTAAATAAAGAACTAGAACTAAAGATCAACCTTTATGACTGTCTGAATGTCCAAAACAGTAGCCTCAAGAGTGTTAATAAGAGATTTCTATTTTAAGCTCCAGTGACCTAGCTTTTCATGCGAGAAACATGGAAAAACATCTTGAGACCAAGTTAATGGAAACAATTGATGTAAAAATGTAAACATTAGATTGTTAATGAACTAAAAGTGGACGGACAACAGACGACAGACCAGCAAAATTCAAGTATCCTAAAAGCTCACCCTGCCAGCTTAGGTGAGCTAAAACAGTTGATTCTTTAAATATTCCGATCACAAAATGCAGAAAATTGGTTAAATTACAGGTAAATTATCTAGAAAAGCATGTTTCAGAAATACTATAAAGTCCGATATCCTAACATTGTGAAAAGAAAAAACAAAATCAAACAATCAATCGATTGATTGATTTTCTTTAGACTTGGCGGTCAACGAAAACCTACCAAAGTGCAAGCACTTATTTCCAGTAGGGTCCTTAACTCAGAAGACTCTAGAGACAGCTATGAGATACAAGGGAGTCCGGGAACCAGTCCTTAGCTCTTATTGAAAAGATCAATCGGTTCTTTTACATGCCCAGTGTATAATATGCGAGTTTGTTTGTATCATTTTACGCCTTTTCCTAACGACTTTGTTTCATTTTACGCCTTTTTCCTACAGTATTTCTGTCATATAGGCGGGTAGTTCCTAATCATCGTTCCTGGAGAGTTCTAGACTATACTCCATGCTAAACTACCAAAACATCTCCGGGGATCAAACCCACGCCAGAGAGGTAACTGAATTAGAACTCATCGACTATAACCCCTCGACCACAGAGGCCGTCTTGATACATGTGAGGATTACCTGGGTTTCTTACCAGTTAACCTCTAGGTAGGTGGAAAACACTGAAAGTGTCTCTGAAAATTCCCAAGGGTGTTACATAGGATCGAACCCGGAACCTCAGGAGTAACAGTCATTGGTCTAACCAAGTGAGCTATGGCACAACCTCAAATCGATGTGTCTGTGCGTGTGTATGTGTGCGGATGCACATGCGTTCGTACTTGAGTGCGTGTATCAAACATAATAGTAAAACAAACACTAACTTTTATCAATAGCATTTCATTTTTTTAAATGGTTCTCATCATAATTATTGTGCAATTAAACATATATTTATTTCATATATATATATGGCGTTAATTGCAAAAACAAATATTTTAACATGTTCATTTGTTTCAAACAAAAATAATAACAAAACAGAACAAAGCATAAAGATGTGACCACCATATAACAAATGTACAAATACAACATATGATACATAAATGACTTATCATCATCACATAAACAAAACGTAGCTGAAATAAAAATTGAGAATGACTAAAAACACAGGGAATTACTTTAAAAGCATTTGAATATAAATGATGCTCAACAATTTCTTTAGCTTTACCTAACATTATCACATTGTCTTTTATAATTAAATTTATAAAAAAATAAAGCAAATGTTCAATGACAAAAGAAGGGAAACAACTGAAGTAACTTTGCATAACAACTTCTTATCACATTATCCAGAAGTTTAACCAATGTAGACGAGAGAGACATGTCAATAGTTCCACAAGTTCTCTTCAAAAAGTGGCGCTAATAATATAATAATTACATAAAACACGAAATGTGTTCAAAACATGACTTTGTGACAATGAAAAAGAACATACAAATGAATTTAATGTATGAGACATAGAAATACAATACCATACCATACAAAAAAATTCTAAAATGCATTCCTTTCTCTGCAGTGAGCAACAAACTTGAACATATTCACATTCTGAATATATTATCAAGAATGTGTACATGTGTACATTCACTTTTATATTATCTGATATAATTCCACATCATAAAACTTAGTGCCATGATAACATGGCCATCCCCCGCCGAATGTGTTTGCTCATTGGAAGAATGTTTATGCAGTAGAGCAGAATAATTCAATTTTAAGAGGTCTTTTGGTAATGAAAACTGATGGCTGACGTGATAACAGATTTGAAACCTATGTGAATACTGAAGGCTGAAAATAACAAAGGGGAATAACTGAAAAATAATGCAGGGTAGGTTATCATTCTTGTGTGCTGCATTCCTCCTCAATGAGATCCATCCACCTTTCAAGTTGATACCTCTAACACTTATTGTGATAAGCTCATGACAAAAAGTATGAAAAATAACAAAGAGCAATAACTCAAAAATTATAAAGGGAAGAGTTATCATTCTTGCTCACAGCATTCCTCCTAAATTAGATCTGTCCACCTATGAAGTTTCATGTTGACGTTTCAAAAGACTTTTTGAGTTATGGTCAACTCGGGTGAAATTTAAGTATGAAAAATAACAAAGGGCAATAACTCAAAATTTGTGAAAGGAAGAGTTATTACTCTTAAGCACTGCACACCTCCTGAGTGAGATATATCCACCTATGACGTTTCATGTTGATATCTCAAAGGTTTTTTAAGTTATGCTCTGGACAAAAATTTAGTTTGAATAATAAAGGGCAAGATTTCAAAATTATGCAGGGTAGAGTTATCATTCTTTTGTACTGCACTCTTTCTCAATATGATCTATCCATCTATGAAGTTTCATGTTGATATCTCAAATACTTTTTGAGATATGCTCCGGACAAAAAAGTCGAACGGAAGGACGGACGGACAGACAAAGACTATTTCTATATCCCCGCCACATTTCGGCAGGTGATAAAAACATGCCATAAATATCCATTCTTGTTACATGTACATATAACATTGTCTCAGTTATATCTATTACATTGACTCCAATGGTACAGGTATATATAACATTGTCTAAGCTATATGTTACTAAAGGTAGATTGTCTATGAATGGTACATGCATATATTATACTGATACAGATATATATTACAAATGGTAAATGCATGATATATACTACAAATTGTACATGCATATATTACATTGTCTCACGATATATAACAAATGGTAAATGTATATATCAAATTGTCCCATATATGTACTACAAATGATACATAGAGGATATTGAATGAGTGTAGGTTTAATATTGTAAGTTTAAATAAAAAGGGCAATAACACCAACATTAGGCAAGGCAGAATTACGGCTCTTTTGCACTTACACTTTTAACTAATATTATATTTATCTACCTACAAAGTTTCTTGTTGATACCTGTTATTTTTCTTAATAAATTTTTATGTTTCGGACAAAATTTAAAGTGTAAAAATGAACAAAGGGCAATAACTCAAAAATTAGGCAAGACAAAGTAACGGTTCTTGTGCACTGCACATATACCCAAAGAGATTTATCGACCTACAAATTCTCATGGCGATACCTCTTGTTATATCAGATATATGTGCCGGACAGGAAAAGCGGATGGACAAAGCGGCGACTATATGGCCACCCTTTAAGGAGCATACAAATCATTAAAGGGCTATAACTGCGACGAAAACCATCGAACCATACAAAAGCAGATAATCCCTTTATGTCGCCACTTACTCTTCAGAGGTGACACAATAATAATATCTGTCATATGTTGCGGTTCGGAGCGGAATATCCATCCCTAGGGGACCCGTCCCATTGGATGGTAATGAGCCTTGCCGAGTTACCGCCCATGGGCGGGTTCCCCAGGGGACGAATATTCCGTTTTGAACCGCAAACATTTGTCAGATATTTTTTCTTGCATATTCTGACATATTATTTCATATTAACACCAATATGATATATGTTCATGGAAATTAGTCATTTCATCTATAACTATTTTCTTACAATAGCGTATAAACTTACAACTTAAATAACAACAGCAAAATGACATCATTTTAAGCACATATTTCCCTTTTAAAACGACGTCATTTTAACGCGGTTCATTCATAAAGTGCGCTAAAATGACGTTGTTTGGCAAGCGACTTATCTGGCACCCCCATGCCAGATGAAATTTCCGGCATGGGTAAAACTCACGGAAACGCCAGTCTGCTATGCAAGAAAAAGAAGTTTTAGTAAAAAGTAACTTTTTAAAAAGAAATTTTAGAGGAGATAATTATTGAAATAGTGGTGCTTGTGTTTTTTCTTACATATGGTGCAGGTGATGAGCATTTATAATAATAAATATACAACTGCACAAACATTTTAACAGCTAAATTACAATACAGCATAAACTGTTTCAAAAATTGAGGTAGGTAACAATTTATAACAGGTATGAATCATATATAATTCCTAATTAGCGAGGTATTTGAAAATATGTACTGTACACTTGTAAATGACCATCCAGTCTTAACAATACTTAGTGTTCTTTGCTAAATCTAACTTTTTACATGAGACAAGTGAAATGTCACATGAAATTTCTTCCCATTGTGGTTTGTGAAACTGTGAGGTTATAATGTGTATGATACTTCTTTTTCAGGTTTGTAAGGATTACGTCAATAAATCTTGTGTGTAACAACTTGAATATTTGTCTTCTGTTAAACAATGAGGTCTGGAAGATCTGAAAGACAGAAAAAATGTCTCTATCAATATTAAACATGTCACACAAATATGACAATAGGGCCATCAATAGTCCTGAAATCGCTCACCTAAATGACAAGGAACAAGTCTGTTTTTTTTTCACACCGACACAGTAAAGGCCAGTTTTACTGGTGGAGGAAGACCTCAGGTGTCCTTCAGGCATTATTTCAGGTACGAACGGGAACCTGAGTAAAACCATCGACGTTCCCGTAAAGAAAAAGTCATA